TTGCTTTGCAATTTCTCTGAGAAGTTGTTCAAATTTCCAATAAGTCTTTATTAGAATTGCATCAACATGAAAATTAATGAAATTATTGTTATCATCCCATTCTCCACTATGTTGCAGCAGAATTGGTATATTTTCCATGATTCTGAAGTTATAATCACTTTTATGTCCAAAATTGAACCTCAACAATGCAAATTTCAACAGTGTTGATGTCAAATATTGAATTTCAACAAAAGATTTTTCGAAATCAAACCTCTACATCTCCATATCTCCAAATCGAGAATAAAATTTTCAGCTAAAAATTCAGAAGTTTGAGCGTTAAACTTCTGTAATACTTATAATTTTTTGACATTCTGCTTTGCCAGCGAAATCAAAATCCGAAAACAAGATGCGAATCAGCATCTTCGATCTGTTTTTTCACACTTAGCGATCTTCAAATTAGGGTATGTTGGTGGAAATGTCAATTTTGTGCGCTTATTTTCTGAAATTTTGAACAGCTTTTGGGTTTTTATAGGTAGGGCATTAAGCGTGGGTAGTTATTTTGATATACTCGTTTGTTTATTAAATGGTAGGAGATTGTAGTTATTTAAGAGCAAATATCATCTATAGCCACTCCGGCCAAACCTATAACATCCGGTAGCCCAAAATTACAATACACATTTTATAGGCCAAAAGTAATTTTAGTGGCTAGCCCAAAAGTACCGCTTTCTGCTTCTTTCTCAGTTTCGCTGCTTATAATTTATTGAAAACCCCTCATTTTTAACTGTAGCATTTTATATATTTGGTTTAATCTTTACTTTGTTGTTAACGTAAATCCATACTTTATAATCACATGGTTGTTTTCCTGGAATTTTTAGTCATGCAACATTGCAAAATGATATTGGATAGATTTCAGATTTCGTCATGTGCATGTGCATTTTATTGATTTTCATTTGGACTTTTTCTTTTACTTCTTTTGTTTTTTACGTTGGATTATGAAATCAATAATGGAACAGTTTTGAACTAATTACAAGAGATTTAGCAATTAATGCAGTAAGCATAATATAACGATTTAACAGAGCAACTCCAAACCAAACTGAAGGAACAAATCAACTCATTTGTTATTAGGATATATTTTCAGGAATTCAAGGGCTGTTGATTTTGTTTTAAAAGTGGAAAAGGAAAATCATTGGCTAAAGAGAGAGGGGCAACCACATTTGAATAAAAATCCCAAGCTCTCTGTTATTGCCTTATTTTTTTGGGGCTAACTTTCTTTTCTAGGGAAATCCTTTGGTTTTAACCAAATAAATTTTTATTTCCACATGTATATCATTAGTTGATTTTGATGGGAAACATAATTTCAGGCCCACCAATAGTATATATTTACATGGATATTTATGTATTTCTTTAGGTGAAAATAAATTTGAATATTGGTATATTACAAAATATATACAAAATAGACTGTCACTATACAAAAATTATACAAAATAGACTGTCACTATACAATTTATATACAATAGACTGTCACTATACACAATATTACAAAATTAAACTGTCATTATACAAAAATATACTAAGTAGAATGTCACTATACAAAATATATACAAAATAGACTGTCACTATACAAAAATATACTAAATAGACTGCCATTATACAATTTATATACAATAGACTGTCACTATACAAAATATACAAAATAGACTGTCATTGTACAATTTATATACAAAATAGACTGTCCTATACAAAATATATACAAAACAGACTGTCACTATACACTAAATATACACTAATGATACATTAGGGATACACTAAAATATCGAGGATACACTTTATATACAAAATTTATACAATGTAATAGTATATATATACAATTTTTATACATAAAGTATATCCTCTATATTTTAGTTTATCCCAAATGTATCATTAGTGTATAGTCATAGTATAATGACGGTCTGTTTTGTATATATTTTGTATAGTGACAGTCTATTTTGTATATAAATTGTATAATGACAGTTTATTTAGTATAATTTTGTATAGTGGCAGTCTGTTTTGTATATATTTTGTATAGTGACAGTCTATTTAATATATTTTTTGTATAATGACAGTCTATTTTTGTATATATTTTGTATAGTGGCCGTCTATTGTATATAAATTGTTAGTGAAAGTATATTTTTCTATAATTTTTGNAAAAAAAAAAATAAAGAGAAAAAATATAGATATGAAATGGGAGATAGAGAAGGGAAGGAAAATAAAAAAAACATTAACCCAAATTAAAAAATTTAATTCGTTCGTCCTTTAGTTTCTATTTCCTATGGTCTCACAAGCATTTCTGGTTCGCCATGTGTTAATTTTTTTCTTCTAATAAGTCGATTAAAAAAAAACTCGAAGAAGAACTGGTGAAAAATTTTATTTGGTAACTACCAAATTAAAGCNTAAAGAGCGATAAAATGAAGAACAATTAAATAGAACACAAATGTAATATAAAGCGATAAAATGTAAGTAATGAGATCAAGAGAATAAATTATTTGTTGATCAGATTTAACTCCAGCAAAAATTAAATTATTTAATTTCATGGAACGATAGGAATATGTGCCATTAGAAAATAATTATAACAGGCCGACAAAATAGATTATTGCAAATGACTAAGTATTAGAAACTACTTACTCAGTGTATACTGACTAAGTATACTGTATTACAATAATTTTACACGATACACTTATTGAGTTGTAGAAGTTTTATGATTGTTCTTTCTCAGGTAACTATGCATAACGTTGAAATATATACAAAATAGACTTTTACTACACAATTTAAATACAATAGACGTCACTATACAAAAAATATACAAAATAGTCTGTCACTATACAAAATATATATTAAATAAACTGTCATTATACAAAATAGTGTCACTATATAAAAAATATACAAAATAGACTATCATTATACAATTTATATACAATAGACCGTCACTATGCAAAATATATACAAAATACACTGTCATTATACAAAAAATATACTAAATAGACTGTCATTATACAAAATATGTACAAAATAGACTATCACTATATAAAAATATACTAAATAGACTGCCACTATACAATTTATATACAATAAACTGTCACTATACAAAATATATACAAAATAGACTATCAATATACAAAATAGACTGTTAATATACAAAAAATATACAAAATAGACTGTCACTATGCAAAAAATATACAAAAATAGACTGTTATTATACAAAAAATATACAAAATAGACATTTCGTATATGACCTGCATAACATATTTCATTCAATTCTTAGCTAATACTTATCAGATCCAGAAGTACAAAATACAATTTAAAAAGGCAAGAAAAAGGCTGCTCTATCGCGCTAGGGAGGGTCGAACCTACGACCTTCAGTTTGAAAATAGATGCTCTATCAACTGAACTACAGGCGCTTGTGTAGTAATGCTCATTCCTTTCGGCTACTATATGCAATATGTTTAGGCCGAAGGGCCATTTTCTATAAGTGGGCCAAAATATGGGCTATTAAAATTTTGAGGGGCTATAGAGGGTAGTTTTTTGGGAAACTTACACAAATGTCCCAAATAAATCTCAACTTACCAACCTCTAGCCATTAGTCATAAACTTACCAAAACTAGCCAACAAAAATTGAAAAACCAAATAATAGGGTTCTTTCTCTCAAAGAATCACATGCAAAAATCACCTTCCATATTTTTAAGCGTGATTAGCAACATTAGATACAAGACGGAAAGGAAACTTCATGGACGGGGTAACAAATAAGGTGATGAAATACAAAAATCTATACAATATTCCAAAAATCTAAACAAAAAAGGAACTTTTTCAATGGGCATAGTTGAAATTCATTGAAAATATATAAATAAGTCAACATACAAAATTTGAGGAAGATTGGAGGTGATTTGGACTGGTTTTGTATCAAAATTCGTAATTAATTCGAGTTCAAAAAAGTCTTCTGCAACACATGTATCAAACATGTATCACGCATGTATCACACACACAGGTATACATGGATACACAGTGTGATACACAATTGATACATGTGTGATACACAAATGATACACAGTGTGATACACATATCATTTTTTTTCATGTTCAGCTTTTACTTCGAATTTTCAATTCAAACCACCTCAAAACTTCACCAAATCATCCCAAAACTGAGATTCAAGCTTCTTATGTTGTGCCCAATCTATTCTAATAACACCCACTCAAAACAAAGCAAAAATTTGATATTTTTTGCTACAAATAGCTAATTGGCTAATTTGGCTAATATTAGTAATATTTTATCAATTGGCCAATTTCTGTAATGAACTACTTATAAATGGACATAGCTGGTAATTTCCCTAGTTTTTTCTTAATGGGTAGAGCAGGGTAACTAGTTTCACTTTTATAGGTACTCCCGTCTTTTCCCCAAAAAACATGCCGTATATATTAATATAGTTTTTTTCCTAAATTTAGTTTGAATTCCATTCGTGAATATCTGGCCTCCTTAGCTATCTGTCACTCGACTAAGCGCTCATCAGATTTAGTTCATGTAGAAACAAGACCTCGTTCATAAAATGAACCATTTACTTCTCCTTTTTTCCAATTCACTTTACCATTTCTTGCATATGTAAAAACTAGGAGTTGATTGTTCACACCATATTATGTCGACAAAACTCTATGGAAGTTTCTTCGAGCAGATTACTTATATATTTTCTACTAGGATGAAGAGAAAGTAGTGTAACTTGTTGATTGAATGAATTCTGCTATTTTCAAGGAGACCTTTCTATATTGTTACTTTTGATTAAAATGCTGATAATCTTGTGAACCCTTTAGTAGATGTCAGACTTGGCTAAGATTGAATCATAAAAGGGTGCCATTTCTTTGTATTTTGTTATTCTTTGGCTGAATGTTCTTTCTATGATACAATTGCTGAACTAAGATGCTCGTGTAAAGAGATACCACAGTAGCTGAACTAAGATGTTGTGGGGGGTTGCAACTCGCAAGATGTTAGGGAAACACCATGAACTCAACAGGGATGAACTGAAATTCCAGTGCAATATGCCTAGATTAAAAATAGTTGTTCAAGAAAGTAGTAACTCAAGACAGCTAAAAGTACATGGCAACAGTATTTTGGCAAAATGAAAAATTAAGATCTTGGTTTCTCCTTCTTCTCCTTGAAGAGAGCCAAGAGAGATACACCAGATACCTTCACCACCTTGAACCTGACACCGGGAATATCTCCCACGGCATGACCCTTTCGACCAAATCCAGCAATCAATACCTCATCCTGCAACTCCAAAAATAAACGGTCAGGAACTAAGAAAACTGAAAAACAATTTGTGCGAGGAGATATGTGGAAGCAAAGGACTCACATTTTCTTCAATGTAGTTCAAACAACCATCATTAGGAACAAATGCAGCAATCTTCTTCCCGTTTTTGATCAATTGAACCCTAGCACATTTACGAATAGCAGAGTTGGGCTGCTTAGCCTCAATACCTCTACAATTTCAAAATTATCTGGTTAGATACAAGGGTTCTTGAAACAGAATGGCTAATGGATAAGTAATCAAACTCGAGTAAAAGAGAACTACTTACATCTTCTCAAGCACAATGCCTTTAGCATGGGATGAGCCAGCAAATGGCTTCTTCCATTCATTTCCAAGATGGGACTTCTTGTAGGACTTGTCAGCCCACCTTTGTCTTCTACGGTGGGACTTCAGCTTGCGTCCAGCTCCCATACCACGTGTCTTCCTGAAAATTTTACCCTATTAAGAGACAACTCGCGTACTGATCAGAAGCATATGCTTTCTCACTTTCACTAATATATTCTTAAGTACATCAGAACACTTCAACTATTACTCATTGTTGGGGGAACGTTATATCGTAATAGAGAATAGACACTTCAATGCAAAACAAACATATCAAACTACAAGAAACAATGATCTTCCAACCCTCAGGGATTGGCCTGGTGGCAATTGACTTGAGCCTTGGGGTTTGCTCCCTTTCAAGGTCTCAAGGTCGAAACCCACTGGGTGCAAACAATTTCTGAGGGCCATCGGACTGGGTAAAACTTGAATTAACCGTGGTGCACTTGCGGGAAACTCCTTGCCGAGGGCCTGTGCACCCCCGGGATTAGTCGGGGCTCTAAGAGACTCGGACACCCGGTGCAAATCAAAAAAAGAAACAATGATCTTCCAATTGCTAATTGCCTTGGTATCTTAGAATTTGTTTCTAAAATCCAGGAAGAAGCACATCAAATTTCTTATTCCTAATCTTGCAGAACTCCTGAACACGTCAAGCAATTTCCTTACAAAGCGCTTTAAGCAACAAAGAGAATAAGATCTGCTATTTTTTATTTTGATAACTGTAGTGTCCGAGCCAGCTTACGCGGACCTCGACTAATTCCACGGGATACCTGCTGCCTCACACAGCAACAGGTGGTAACTCCATAAAAAAAATCTGCTAATTTTTAAAAGCACCATCAATTCGTGCAACAAATCTACTGTTCATATAACCTCCACGTCCACCGTTTTCAAATTACAACCTTCTAGCAATCAGGCACTTCAAAATTTTCATACGTCCAGCAACTCGATTAACAATTGATACATATTGGGCATGGAAAAAGCTATAAAATCTGCATTACATAGGTTATTCATATAATATATCCGGTATAATTAGAAATATTCATTTTTAAGCAGACAACAATAGAACCCAGATTCCAGGATAGGCAAAAGGGGAGAGAACTATTAGGAATCGATTAAAAGAGGACCAAAACACTAGACTTGAAATGCAGATATAAAGTTTTCACATGGAAATAATGCAATTTGAAGATGACTGTAACGCATAGAAAATGAGTAAAGGAGAAAAACAACAAATCATACCCCATGTTTGCTGAGTGAAAAGAAGCTCAAACTTCAGACTAGGGTTTGAGAGGTTGCAGATGAGAAGAGAAGAGACAGCCGCTCGTAAAACCCTAACCTTTATTGAAGTTGTGTTTTTGAATTATTGAATGAATTGGAGCTCTTGGATTGGGCTTCTCGAACTTGGGCTGAAGAGCTTTGGGCTTGTGTAATTACTCCCTCCGTTTTATATTGTTTGAGGTAGTTTGACTCGGCACGGAATTTTAAAAAAAAAAGAATACTTTTGAAAGTTGTGGTCTTAAAAGCTTAAGGGGTAAAAGGTTTGTGGGACCATGCTATTTGTGTGGCTATAAAAGCTTCTCATTAAGGGCAAAAAGGATAAAATGAAGAGTTTAAAGTTGAATTATTTCCAAATTTAGAAACGTGTCATTTATTTTGGAACAGACTAAAAAGGAAAGTATCTCATTTAATATGAAACGGAGGGAGTATTATTTTGGGATTTTTTACAATATTTGGAACTTATTTATCAAAATTGTTCTAATTTGGTATATTACCCGCCCTAAACAAGGATTACTTACAAATTATATACATTCCACCTTAAAAGACTCTCAATCCATTATTAGTGCCTTCAATCAAGATATTTAGTTATACAATTTCCTTTAAATCTGGACTTAAATTTCATATAAGATATTTAGCATAAATTTCATATAAGATAGCTAGCTTTAGCAAATCTGGACTTCTTCTCAATTAGTAAAGGTAAACGACCTCATGCTATAAATGGCAGGATCTCTAAAATGACATATGTAGTATAATTCATAAAGTATGAATACCCATTAGAGAGGCCACCACACATAATCAAAGTTCAAATACAATTTTTTTCATGGAAAAAAGAAAAATCTTTATGGACATGGTTTATTGGGATGTTTCGGACAAAATAACAGAACATCAGCAGCAAGGTTTAAACAACACAAGTCTGGGTAAGAGGACATTCATTAGTGCGATGCTTAATAGAAATTCTGCTTCAGTAATCTTTCCTATATAACATGGTATCTAAAACATTGAATCAAATTAATTAAGCTCGACATAGAATAACTAAAATTAGAAGTGTATGTATGGTCATTCCGTTGCACATTTATTAGTCATGTTTTTTGTCAGAACGTGACTAGAATAACAATCACCTAAGAACGATTTTTTAGATAAAATATGATAGATTTTCGTACAAATTTAATGCAAATTTGAATATCTACTAGTAAAAACAAATTTCATACAACTAATTATATATTATATTATATAACTTATTTACAACTTATCTATAACTTTCATACATTATTTCTACCCAATTAAATACAACTACAATATCATACAACATAAATACAATTTTTATACAATATATTTTTTGTATATATATATATATATATATATATATATATATATTGTCGGTGGTGTGTGCTCCTTCCTCTCTAAAGTTCCAATCACAACTTACTCTCTTTATATATATATATATAACAGAATACAATTTACATACAACTTTACTACAATTTCTCTAAGTACATTGTATGTTATATCATCGTCATCATCTTCTTCTTCTTCTTCAAGTTTCAATCTGAAATTCAGCCAAAATCAAGTCTAATATTCACCAAAACACCCTCAAAATTTAGATATAAACTCCAACAATATTCCCAATTGTTTGCAACAACATCCAATCAAAACAAATAATGATTTTTGAAAACCCAAATTCGATTTCAAAGCTTCAAAGCTTTTTAATGGCTGTCAATGGTGGAGAGTCAAACACCTTCAAAAACTTATTGATTGACAATTTCAATTTGAACACCAAATGTGCAACATGAAAGGAAATTGGTATTTTAAAATGATTGAAATCCATTGATGAATTCCATTAAAACTCTATACAACAAGAAAGCATAAAAAATAGAGAACATCAAATGAAGAAAAATTGGAAAAAAAAATAGAGAAGGATTAGAGAGACGAAGAGAGAGAGAGAGAGAGAGAGAGAGAGAGGGGGGGGGGGGGGAGATGAAGAGAGAGAGAGAGTAGGCAAGTATAAATGGATAAGAAAATAACTGATATTCCTTATTCAATTCCTAATATAAAGGGATTCTCATTTAAAACTTATTTGTATATAATTGGTAAATTGTATATGACCATGTAATTAAATTGAAACATGAGTAGGGAGGGTAATAAAGTTTCAAATAGTGTATAGCAAAGCAAAATCCCTATTATTTTTTGGAAAATTGTACGGTCACTCTCAAAATAATAAGGAATTTTTTCCTTCATATACAATATTTGAAATTTATTTACTAAAATTATCTTAATTTTGTATATTATCCACCCTAAACAAGCATTACTTACAAATTATATACATTCCACCTCAAAAGGCTCTCAATCCATTATTAGTGCCTTAAATTAGGGGATTCTTTGCTTAGAAAAAGGCATAACTGAAGGGAACAATGGTGTTAACCACGTTTGAGTATCTGATGGTGTCAATAACAGCTCCCGTCATCAGAAAAGTGTAGGCCCGAAGTATACCATCCTAAATCGTGCTGAGTTGTTGGAATAGCTAGCATGAGTGATTGGCAAGATTGGCTTGAACGTCAAGAGCGTTATGAGCCTCGGAACGATAAACTTTGGCTACAAAATGCCAGAACCAGTCACAAATTAAATTTGGTATTGAACTTTTTGAAGGTGATTGGCTTTTCCATTGAATGGCTCTGTTGAAGCATTGTACTACTATCCAAAGTTGGATGAAATAAGTTGGATGAAAATCCTCCTCGAAGATGAGCAGTAAAGAGTTTTTAGTATTCAGGTGTTTGACTCTCCACCATTGATAGCCATTAAAAAGCTTTGAATTCAAATTTGGGTTTTTAAAAAACCATTATTTGTTTGGATTTGGTGTTGTTGCAAACAATTGAAAATATTGTTTGGAGTTTATATCTCAATTTTTAGGATGTTTGATGAAGATTAGACTTGATTTTGGCTGAATTTCATATTGAAACTCGAAGAAGAAGAAGAAGAAGAAGAAGAAGAAGAAGAAGAAGAAGAAGAAGAAGAAGAAGAAGAAGAAGAACACATGACATACCATCTACTTACAAAATTGTAGTAAAGTTGTAGTATAATTGTAGGTAAATTGTATTCTGTTGTAATTATATGTATTTTTATTTGAATGTTGTATGAAAGTTAAAAAATAGTTGTATAATGTATGAATCGGTTTATAAAATTTGTATTTAAGTTATCAATACTATCTTTTTACATAAAGTTGTTGATATGTATCAAAATTTGTCCAAATATTTTACGAGGTTAATAACTATCATGAGTATTCTGCTTCACTTGATTGGTTAACTTACCCAATACACTAATCTATCACAAATGAAAGAAACATATTTAAATCAACGCTAAAATGGATACAGTGTACTTACGATTAATATTATACAATTTGATGGTACAACATACAAATTTAAAAATAAATTTCGTATAAATTTAATACAAATTGATATATCTTTATCAACATACATACTAAAAATAAATTTCATACAACTAATTATATAGTATACACTTATTTACAACTTATTTACAACTTTCATATATTATTTTTACCCAGTTAAATACATCTACAATATCATACAACTTAAATACAATTTTCATACAATATACAATATTTTTTTTGTATATTTTATATCTGATTTGTATATATTTTGTATGTGGTGTGTGTTTCCTCCTCTCTAAAATTCCAATCAAAAATTTCTCTCTTAATATAATTTTGATACATATCACTAACTTTATGTATACAGATTCTATCGATAACTTAAATACAAATTTTGTAAAACGATTCATACATTATACAATTATTTTTCAACTTTCATACAATATTCAAATAAAAAATATATATATAACTACAACAAAATATAATTTACATACAATTATGCTACAACTTTACTACAATTTTGTAAGTATATTGTATGTCATATCATCATCATCATCATCTTCTTCCTTCTTCTTCTAGTTTCAATCTGAAATTCAGCCAAAATCAAGTCTAATCTTCGCCAAATACCCTCAAAATTGAGATATAAACTCCAAAAAGTATTCACAATTGTTTGCAACAACACCCAATCCAAACAAATAATGGTTTCTGAAAATCCAAATTTGAATTCAAAGCTTCAAATTTTTTTAATGGTTTGTCAATGGTGGAGAGTCAAACACCTTCAAAATTTATCGATTGCCAATTTTAATTTGAACACCAATTGTGCAACATGAAAGGAAATTGCTAAATTAAAACTCTATAGTAAAACGATTGAAATCCATTGATAAATTCCATTAACAATATATACAACATGAAAGGATTAAAAATAGAGGACATTAGAGGAAGAAAAATTGGGCAAAGAAAAGAGAATGAGAAATTGAGAGACGGAGAGAGAGAGAGAGAGAGAGAGAGAGAGAGAGAGAGAGAGAGAGAGCAGGAGAGAGAGAGAGAGAGAATAATGATGGAAAATAATTGATTCATTATTCAATTTCTAATATAAAGAGATACTCATTTAATTTCTAAAGTGTATATAATTGGTAAATTGTATATGCGTAATTAAATTAAAACTTGAAAAGGGAGGGTAATAAAGTTTCAAATAGTGTATAGGAAGGTAAAAATCCCAAATAATAACCGAAAAATAAATACTCTCTCTGTTTCAATTTAGATGAGTAGTTTGACTCGGCACAAAGTTTAAGAAAAAAAAGACTTCCGAAACTTGTGGTTTTAAGAGTTTAAGGGGTAAAAGCTTTGTGGGGCCATGATATTTTTGTGGTTAGAAAAGCTTCTTATTAAGGGTAAAATGGGTAAAATGAAGAATTTAAAGTTGAATTATTTTCAAATTTAGAAATATGTCATTTATTTTGGAACAGATTAAAATGGAAAGTACCTCATCTAATTTGAAATGGAAGGAGTATTATATAGGAGAATTACCAGCTATGTCCATTTATAAGTAGTATATTATAAAAAAAGTCAATTCATTAAGGTTGGCTTAAAAGGCCAAGTTTGACTTCGGTCAACATTTTTAGTAAACGGACCCGACTTGTATTTCGACTGTCCCGGAGGGTCCGTAGTAAAATATGGGACTTGGGTGTATGCCCAGAATCG